TACTAGGTACTAATTGCTAGGCAGTACTGTGCTCTGTGCTTGGACAATCAGCCTTGCGGTGCTTGGCTGCTGCAAAGACTCGAAGATGGCTTCTATTCTCCATTTCCAAATCGGGACTTTGGACCAATGGCGGGGCGTACCAGAAACCGGCAGCGATCAACTGGCTGAGTGAGGGGCAGCTCTAATGCCTGTCTGCTGCATCTGAACGGCTGCAACTTTTTCGATCTGGCCGATTTTTGGGGGCCGTCTGCATCTGTGATACCGTCTCTCATAATAGCAATCAAATGATTTATAACTGAAAACAAGCCACCGATCCTCTCCCTCTGCAGGGCATCAACTTTTACACTCGCCCCGTCCAAAACGTCACTTTTGCCATCTCCGCAGCTACTAATTGTAATTGATAAGCTCACCCTTGCAGCGCTTGCGACCCACCCCACTAAAATTCCCTTCGTCGCCCTCGAAAGCATGAAAGTTTTCCTCGTGAATCGCTACTTCGGTCGCAACGTTCGCGGCTGGATCGCAACTTGACTTTCCCCTTCTTTTCATCCCATCTTCGTCTCTAGAGGCTCGTTGGTGCACAGTCGCCCCTTTTTGATGTCTCACCAACGCTTATGAGAGCTCTTTACTCTGCCGCTGGCCAGCTCCAGCGAGCTCCGATTGCAAGCTTTGTTCGGCTTGCTCGCCACCAAGGACGCCAGAGTGTTTGGAGAAGAGCGCCGTCGCGATGGCTCGCAACTCTCACCCAGGAGTCTGAGTCGAAGGACTTAAGATCGCTGTCTTGTAAGCCTATTTGCGACACTGTTTGCAATCGGGATTGGTAGCTAACGGCGCAACACCAGTGCCTTCGACGTCGCGATACAACGAAGTTGGTGTACAGCAACTCAGCGAATACATCTTCCCTCAGATATTTCCAAACGGCTCCAACCCTCCGCCCGAAGACCTAGTGAGATTGTCTGTGGATCATTTGAAGCGCCATGAGCTCTATGGCAAGAATACAGATGCTTCCAGCCCCATTGCCTTTGACCTCCCTAAACTTCACGGTGACACCCTCGACGAACACTTCTATAAGCTTGGAATTGATTGCGCTGGTTCGCATTTGCAGTACGCCAAGGAGTTCGCTTGCGCAAATGTCCCCCTGAGGCCGAAAAGATGGATGCGACAAAGCGGGTGGACAAAATACTATCCTGATGGCCGGACAGAGTCGGTAGAAGCGCCTAATGAAGAGATGCTGTGTTTTGACACAGAGGTCATGTGGAAAGAAAGCCCATATGCAGTAATGGCTTGCGCAGTCAGTCCTACGGCCTGGTATTCTTGGTTATCTCCTTGGCTGCTGGGCGAATCGACCGAGGACAAGCATCTGATACCATTGGGGGATCCGACCACCGACCGCATCGTCGTTGGGCACAATGTCGGCTATGACAGAGCAAGAATTTTGGAAGAATACAACCTGAAGCAGACTAGGACCGGATTTCTCGATACCATGTCCTTGCACGTTGCCGTAAATGGCATGTGCTCACAACAACGCCCGACCTGGGTGAAAGCAAAGAAGAATCGAGAGACCAGAGAGAGGATAGCGGGCGAAACCGTCGATCACGGCATGGTTGAGCTTTTGAGTAACTCAAGTATGCACGAAGAAGAGGAGTTATGGGTAGAGAAGAGCTCAATCAACTCTCTTCGAGATGTGGCCAAGTTTCATCTTAATGTCACCATCGACAAGGCAATACGGGATGATTTCGGTGAATTAGACCGCGACGGTGTGATGGAGAAACTGGATCAACTTCTCGAATACTGCGCTGCGGATGTGTCTGTTACTCATAGGGTGTATCAAGCCATCCTACCCAGCTTCTTGGAAGTTTGCCCGCATCCAGTTAGCTTTGCAGCTCTACGGCACCTGTCTTCTGTCATTTTACCGGTTAATGATACTTGGAACTCCTACATTGCCAATGCAGAGGCCACATACCAGAAACTCTCTGCGTCGGTTCATGAAAGATTGGTGGCATTGGCAGAGAAAGCTTTGGAAATAAAAGATCACCCCGAGATCTGGCAAAACGACCCTTGGATGATGCAGCTAGACTGGTCCGGCCAAGAGATCAGAATGGTCAAGGGGAAACGAAAGAACGATCCGCCGAGGCCAGCTGCAAGACAAAAGAAGCCGGGCATGCCGAAATGGTACAAAGATCTCTTTGCCAAAAATGACGCCCCCATTAACCTGTCAATACGGACTCGCATTGCGCCTTTGCTGCTGAAGCTGGCTTGGGATGGGCATCCGTTATTCTGGTCCAACCAATATGGTTGGGTATTTCGAGTTGATCCGGATGCTGTGTCCACTTACACTGCGAAGCTCATGTCAGAATGCCTCTTTGATGACTCTGACCCGGATTTGCGCGACGATTACAAACACTCTTACTTTAAACTTCCACATAAAGATGGGCCTACTGCTCGCTGCGCCAATCCCATGGCAAAGGGGTATCTAAATTACTTTGAAAATGGTACCCTTTCATCCGAGTATGAATATGCCAAGGAAGCGCTGGAAATGAATGCATCATGCTCATACTGGATGAGTGCGCGTGATAGAATTATGTCGCAAATGGTTGTCTATGAGAAGGATTTGCCTGAGGCCAAGAAGGATGGAGAGAATACTCAAGGCTTTATATTGCCTCAAATTGTCCCCATGGGTACCATTACTCGGCGAGCGGTCGAGAATACCTGGCTAACGGCAAGCAATGCCAAGAAGAACCGTGTTGGATCCGAGTTGAAATCCATGGTCAAGGCTCCAGCTGGCTACTGCTTTGTCGGTGCCGATGTAGACTCAGAAGAGCTTTGGATTGCAAGTCTAGTAGGCGATGCGACCTTCAAAATCCACGGCGGAAACGCCATCGGCTTTATGACTCTCGAGGGTACCAAAGCAGCAGGCACGGACCTACATTCGCGGACAGCATCGATTTTGGGCATCTCTAGAAACCAAGCCAAAATCTTCAATTACGGGCGCATTTACGGAGCTGGGCTCAAGTTTGCAGCTACTCTCTTACGACAGTTCAACCCCAAGCTGTCTGAGGCCGAGACTACGGAGATTGCACAGAGGCTGTATGCCAATACCAAGGGCATCAAGACCAATCGAAAGACGATAAACAAGCGCCTGTTTTGGAGAGGGGGGACGGAATCTTTTGTATTCAATAAACTGGAAGAATTCGCCGAACAGGACTGGGCCAGGACACCGGTGTTGGGAGCGGGAATCACACAGGCGCTCATGAGCCGCTTTGTGAGCAAAGGCGGTTACTTGCCTTCTCGCATCAACTGGGCTATTCAGTCATCGGGCGTCGACTATCTCCATTTACTGATTGTCTCGATGGATTACTTGATCCGTCGCTTCAATCTCGACGCTCGGCTGGCCATCTCAGTTCACGACGAGGTTCGATACCTGGTGAAGAGTGAAGATAAGTACAAGGCAGCGCTTGCACTCCAAGTAGCAAACATTTGGACTCGAGCCATGTTTGCACAGCAAGTAGGGATTAACGACCTCCCCCAATCCTGTGCATTCTTCTCTGCTATCGATATCGATCACGTTCTCCGCAAAGAAGTCGACATGGACTGCATTACGCCAAGTCATCCCGATGCAATCCCTCCTGGCGAAAGTCTAGATATCCAGACTCTCTTGGCTATGGGTTCCGAGGCACAGCTTGATTCGTCCGTCGTTCCGGATCCTAGATTCGCCCCCAAGCTGGATGATATTTCCTATACGCCGCGCACGCCTGTTATGCAGAAACTTCAGGATTCGTCGGGAAGCAGTACTCAGTTTATTAGAGCTCAGATTGCGAGCGATGAAACGGAGCTGCAGGATATTATCAAAGAGATTCGCGGCGTCACACTGTCGAAACCGCGGACGCCTACACAATCGAAACCGCGAGCAGCACCAAAGCCGCGAGCAGCACCGAAGCCGCGAGCAGCACCGAAGCCGCGAGCAGCACCGAAGCCGCGAGCAGTATCGTTGAAGGGCGTGCTTCCGTTCAATGCAAAGAACCCCCCTCAGGGGCATAATGCGCCATCATCGTTCCCTTCGGAACGTGATGTCATACCTCTGGGTTCGCCGATACAAGATTCCGAGACATTGGCTTTCAAATACCAAGGTGAGGGCCAATACACGAAGAGTAAAATGGCTTGGGTTAAGCCTTAGAAGAGAGTTCTACTGGGTCGATATGGTGTACGATATGAGTGCAATTATCAAAACAGACAAGGGATGATGTAAACATGTATAACAGCTGGCTTGCTTTTTCTCGGATTTTGCTGAAAAATTATGGAATGGCTTGGAGTTGAGCGTATGACTACTGGTGTTTTCTTTAGGGGGTAGAGGATTATGGTTTTTTGGCAATCTTTTCGTGATAAAAGGTGGAACATTACTTAGGTACCTACCTGTACTGGATTGTCGCTTACTATTACGACTGTACTAGGTATCTACTATGTCTAGATGTGTAAGAGTGTACGAATAGGAAAAAGAAAATACAAAAGTGCAATGTAACATTTTGTCAGAATAATCTGATGCCTCTATGTATCCAAGCTACGGAACCCAAAAAAAAAAAAAAAAAAAAAAAAAAAAGTGAGTCGACATATGAAAGGCAATACTACACGCGCCAGTGTTCCAGGAATCAGACTTGCAGCGCTGTGGATGTTATTTTGATGTATGTGTTTATCCAATTCACAGTCTCTGTTATTTTTATTTGCAAACCCATTGGATACATTCTGGGCTAGATTATGCCTTATGAGGCTGAGCGCTGCCGCGCCAACTTGATTTATGTATGCATGTGTGCCTAGAATAACAGGGTCTTTTCTGCCCGATATAACTGCATGTGCCCAGCGACCTGACAATGTCTTTCCATCAAGGCGATCAGAACGCCTATCAACCCATCGATTCACCATCTGCAGCCAATACACAAATGCTAAAGCGGTCTTAATTGCATCCCTTAATACGAAAACGAAACGGTGCAAGTGACAAGCATTTGTACAAGATGGAAAGCGCATCCTCTAGAAAACGCAAACAGGCTGATATCCGCATACAGAAAAGAAGCGACGAGTATACAGTGGGATGGATTTGCGCCATATGCACTGAATATACCGCCGCGCAAGCTGCCCTTGATGAGGAGCATGAGAGGCCCGACGATATGGCGCCAGGCGACCATAACGACTACACAGTCGGCCGCATGGGGAAGCACAATGTTGTTATTTCCGTTTTGCCGGATGGAGAATACGGAACAGATTCCGCGGCACTCGTCGCAAGCAATATGCTACATTCTTTCGCCAATATCAAGGTCGGGCTGATGGTTGGCGTTGGTGGCGGTGCGCCGAGTGAAAAGCGTGATATTCGCTTGGGCGACATTGTGGTCAGCGCTTCTCGTGAGGGACATAGCGGCATATTGCAATACGACTTTGGCAAGATGGTACAAGGCGAACCGTTTCAACTAACGCGAGTATTGAACCAATCGCCAAGGATCTTACGAGCAGCGGTAAACGGGCTTGAATCTCAATATCAACGCAAAGGCTATGATCAGCTGAGAAGAATAATTGACGATATTCTCCAAAGCAATCCGAAGTTACAAAGAAAATTTGGTCGTCCAGATGTTACCAGTGACAGGCTGTATCGCAGCGAGATTATACATCCTACCGACGGCATCAACACACCAGATTGTTCAGTTTCCTGCGGTGATGATCCTTCAAAGCTGACTACACGGCCCAGGCGAGTCGCAGACGAGAGCTCGCCTGTTGTTCATTACGGATTAATTGCCTCTGCAAATACGCTCATGAAAGATGCCGTGCTGCGTGATAAGCTCGCACTGGAGAAGAATATTCTATGTTTCGAAATGGAAGCTGCCGGCCTTATGAATCAATTCCCCTGCTTAGTGGTTAGAGGAATATGCGACTACTCAGATTCGCATAAGAACAAACAGTGGCAAGGGTATGCCGCAATAGCAGCAGCAGCCTACGCAAAGGATATCCTCCATCGAATCCCTCTGAAAGACATCGGCACACTACAAAGAGTAATCAGAGAAGAAAAGGCACAAATTCCAAGCGATGAGCAGAAACAAGAGTTGCTCAAATCTCTGAAGTTTGATCAGCATAAGGATCGCCATGATAATATCAAAGCCGCCCACCCCGATACATGCAAATGGCTACAAGAAAGCGTTGAGTATCTTGACTGGCTGAACCCTGACAAGATTCGTGATCATCATGGATTCTTATGGATTAAAGGCAAACCTGGAGCTGGGAAATCCACAATTATGAAGTCTGCGCCCTTGACTGCCCGGAAAGATATGAGAAAAAGGATTATTATCTCTTTCTTTTTCAACGCACGGGGAGACAGCTTGGAGAAATCCACCATTGGGATGTACCGATCACTATTGCTACAGCTACTTCAACATATACCAGCCCTTCAAGACAAATTAGACTTGTCTGATTTCATCAAAAATCACGACACAGATTATCGATGGCATATCGCGAGCCATTAAAATCTTTATTCCACCAAGCAATCGGAAACATACAAAAATCCAAAGTGATGTGTCTTATTGACGCTCTGGATGAGTGTGATGAAGATGAAATCCGAGATATGATATCATTTTTTGAACATCTAGGAGACTTGGCCACATCCAAAGGAATTAGCTTCTTGGTATGTTTTTCAAGCAGGCACTATCCATATATCTCCATCCAGAATGGATTAAGCCTTATCCTGGAAAACCAAAAGGAACACGGCCAAGATATCGTTAAATATGTGAAAAGCGAGTTGAGGATTGGGCAAAGTTACATCGCTAATCAAATTCGCGCTGGTATACCAAGAAGATCTCGTGGGATTTTCATGTGGGTCATTTTGGTCATTTTGATTCTCAACAAGGAATACGATAAGGGGCGGATCTATAATTTACAAATCAAGTACGAGGAGATTCCTGGAGACCTGCATGAGCTTTTCAGAGAAATTTTGACGCGAAATTCTGACGAAAAGTCAAGAGAAACACTCCGATGTCTTCAATGGATTCTATTCGCAGAAAGACCACTGCAACCAGAAGAGTTATACTCCGCTGTTCTGTCTGACATTTCACCTGCGTGGGCTCACAAAGAAATATTGGAGCATGATATTCAGCGATTTGTTTTGAATGCTTCTCTTGGATTTGCCGACATTATCGCGTCGATTAACTACACGCACAAAACTGTTCAATTTATTCACGAGTCAGTTAAAGATTTTCTTCTCAAAAAAGATGGACTGAGAGAAATTTGGGTGAACCCAAATCGTAATATCCATGGACACGGCCACGAAGAGTTAAAACAGTGTTGTCTCGGATGGATTGCTGTGGGTAGCGCCATCTGTTCTTACGAGTCTACCTCTGAGGAGAGAGCGAGAATTAACCAACGGAACAAGTTGCCATTCCTAGACTACGCCATACAGAATGTTCTGTATCACGCAAATGCAGCACAAAAGTATGGTATTGATCAAGCCGGATTTCTCAAAGAATTTGAGGCAGACACTTGGAAAAAAATTGGGAACAGATTTCGAAAGGGGCGCAATACCTCAAACCCACGACTTTTGTATACATTGGCGGCAGGAAATATGAGTTATCTCATCGGATGCCACTCTTCCAAAATCACTTTTTCTGAAGTAGGAGACGAATTTCATGGGACACCACTTTTTGCGGCAGTAGCCTGCCGTGGCAATGAGGCAATTATAGAGTTCTTAAAAGCTCAAGCAGAGACCACCCCTGAATTTCTTAAACTATACGAACAATATTGTCGCAAAAGATTTGAGCTCAATTATATTACTAACTCTGAATTCGACCGAAAGAATAATATTTTGTTTTATTGCAGCCCTATGAATGAAGGGTGTGACATTATACGAGTGGCTTTGTTATTGAACATGCGTCGTCCTTATCTAAACTTCAACTGGGAAGATGAGTGCAGTCAATCGCCACTGCTGTATGTCTATGAAGCGGGAGATAAGGCTCTGCTCGGTGTTTTAATCGAAAAATGCATAAGCGATTTTGACGAAATCCCTCGTTTTAGTCACGCGTTACTCCGAACTGCGGTAGAGAGAGGACACGGAGATTTCATCAAATTATTACTTCAAAAGGGTGCCAGAATAGATGCTCGTAATTCTTGGGGAGATACGGCACTATGTTGTGCAGTGCAAGGAAAGCATAAAGATATGGCTCAGCTGCTAATCCAAGCAGGGGCAGATATCGAGGCCTGTGGTTGGCGTCGTGACATGACACCGCTATTGGAGGCAGTGGCAAGTGGCCAGAAGGACCTGGTCGATTTGCTACTTGAGAAGGGAGCTAATGTTGAGGCGATGAATAAGCTGGGCAGGACACCATTAATATGTGCAATAAGAGACGATTATGTGAACGTGGCTCTTCAGCTGCTTGAGAAGGGGTCTAATATTGAGGGCAAGGATAAGGAGGGCCAGACGCCGCTCATGTGGGCGATAAGGAGAAGAAATATAGGCTCAGTGAGGCTGCTGCTTAGTCGAGGAGCTAAGATTACGGCGGGAAAAGTTGCTAACATCCGATCAGGGTGGATTGGAGTCGGCGTCTCTGAAGAGTTGAGTAAGAAAATTAGGGCTAACAGCGAATTAACGCTGTTGGAGTTTGCCCAGCAATTCAAGGAGACGGAAATCATTGAATTACTATCTAGAAACGGAGCTATCTAGGTAGTGCTAGGAGACGAAAAAAGCAAATATATCTGTTACATATAAGTTGGCTGCGAATCACCCGTAGAAAGTAGAAAGTAAATATCTACGAAATGACTTCCAAGGTTCTTTCTAGTCAAATATTCTCTCCATCTACCTATGCGATCCTATGATAATATCGATACCTTGAAGGAGCTTATTTGGGAGCTTATTGGAGCTAACTTAGTCAGGCAAGAGTTTCTGTCCATATACCTACCTGTATACATGTAATCATCATAATCCTTCTCATGAAGATAGACATGTTTTGGAGACAACATCTAAGAAACATGACTCTTTTCGCTCTCCTATTTCCACTTTTCAAGTTCCCAGTTCCAGTTCTGCCCCTGTTCCAGTGACGTCTCCAGCGCATCCCCTCCATCCAATAGCAGCTAGCGCGGGGCACCGGTTCCGCGTGGAAGGGAGGGGCAGGAACAGGCGCATCACCACTTTTTGTTACTAAGGCAAAGTCCCTGCGACGATCTCATGGCCTTGTGATCTGCTCCCTCTTCCCGGTTTTCTTTCTCCTTCTTTAAAGTGCCAAGTTGGATTTTCATTTTCCCCGAACAACCGCATTGCTTAGTCTTGCTCGAGCCTCTTGGCTACGAACCATCTCTCGTTTATTCCCCTCATCTCGATCTGATCGCGTCCGCGATTGTATCCACCTCGGTAGCGCAACCATTACTTGTCAAGATACATCGTCGCAACACCACCATGGCCACTACAGAAGAGATTGTTCAGCGGCTTCACGAGTCTCGCCCGCCAGCCACAGATGTAGCCACATTTCTCACCATTGTCGAGATGTCGCTGTCCCCAGAGATTCTGCCTGCGCTACAGGAGATCCTGGAGGACGTGTCATTAGCCGGTGACATTGGTTGGGATCTGGTCGAGATGTTGATCCCCATCCCGGGTAGCGAGGAGTGTTTGGAGAGCATTGCGCGACTGGGTAACCCACGAGAGGTCATCCTCAAGGTCCTTGAGGTCATGGAGAAGACAACCGCTGCGGGAGAGGAAGCAGATGAAGAAGAGGTAGAAGAGGAAAAGAAAGCTGCTGCTGATGGCTCTACGAATCAAGTGACCAAGGGCGAGACGAAAGCTATCAGGCATTTTGTGACACTCTGCGGAATGCTGGGGATCCTCCTCAAACGGCTGCAGGTCAAAGCTCCCTCACGATTCCTACACACCACGCTGGAAACAGTCCAGAGGTGCTACGATGCCACAAGCGCAGCATCTACCGCGGCGGTTATTTCTCTGGTTCAATCTCTCGCGCGCAAGACACGGCCCCCTTTGCCCTCTCGTAAGTCGAGCGTCAAATTAGACACGCCGTTTCAAGACAGCGACCCGGCGAAACAAGCGCCAGACCCTGAAGCCGATCGCTCAGATACATTAAACGCAAATGAGCCGGGCCTGATTAATAGCTTACTGCAATCATTCATCACATGCATCCTCGAAGCCTATGTCAATTCTAATAGTGTTGAATGGGCTTCAAGGATGCTGGAATACACCTACCCAGAGCGGATAGTGCCCGGTCGCAAGACTATGATTCAGACATTCAAAGAGGTTGTAGAGCTCCAAGCGAAGGATGCTTTGCTGGGACAGCTAGTGGTGAGTTTCTTCATGTCTAGTCTGAGGTGAAGATATATAATAACTGTTCTATAGTCTCTTGCTGGTGATTTAGGCCTCTCGAAATTGCCTCCATTCAAGATGAAAGAATACATCGAGGGCCCAATCTACCGAGCGCCCCTGTCCATCGAATTCGACCCTGCACACCCAGAGCAACTCCATTTATCAACAGGTGGCTTGGTCTGCCTGAATGCGTATTGGATGTTTGCTGCCGATGTTTTCGACGCGGATCGAGGCCTTCCAACCGGAGAACTACACCCACAATACATGCTGCCTGATCACCAGGCCTTGTTGCAAAGCTTCCTAGGCGATGAATCAGGGAACCAGATCGCCACGAATCCGGGAACTTTTGAGGCCCTCATTGTTATGGCCATTTGGCTGGACGGACGGAAAGCACTTTCAAAACCCGATAGCAGTGGAGCTGTTACAGGATTTATGCCCTACCACCATCTTCTGACACTTGTTTCAATCTTCCACCCAAACATCCGAGTGCGCAATGCAACAACTGTTGTCGCAGGCTCAGTCTTACACGCTGATCCCGACGAGGAAGATCGATTGGCTATTCTGGAAGACTTGTTGGAAAACTGCGTCTTCTCCTCCCTTCAAGCGTGCGCGGTCGCATGGCTACGAGAGGAGTTGATTGCCGCGAGAAAGGCTGGCTCGAAAAGCCGCTTCTCCGGCCCAGAGTGCTTCGAAACTATTCAGTATACCTTGTTTCCAGATCTGTCACATCTCCAACAGGCCGATGCTTCTGCATTGCTAGAATTTTGGGCCCAAAACGCTCCTCTGCATTTACAAATCGCTAACTTTGCCTTGTTCCTGTTTGGCGAAGATTATAAATCTCTTGCGCCAGTGGGTATGGCTGCGGCTATTGAGCATCGCTATGTTGAGCCGCTATTGCACGCTGCGAGGACGTTAGAGAAGGCTGCCGCCGCGAAGGAGATTGAAGCTGATGGCGAGAGTCTGATGCAGCTCGGAATCTTGACGGATACGCTGAGTCGGGTTTCGCTGCAGTAAAGGAAAAGAAAACTTTGTTGGAGCATAGAAGGACGTATAAAAAAACATGACAATCAATGATGGAACATATTGCCAGGGCGGACAACGAAGGGGGAAGTCTTGAACTCTGTCGAAATCTACAGGATGCTGCGCAGTTATTTACATCTCAGCGGGGATGCGTGTTGCCCAATCAATCAAATTTCGTACTCTAACAAATGTTTGAGCGGTGGTTTATTCAAGAATTATGCGTTGTGCCTGCGGAGCTCGTCTATGTAAGAAAAAGTGAAATACGCCCTGTTTTATGTGCTCTTTGTTGCCAATTTTCGTGGTATAAGGAAAATCAAAAGAGGATTGTCAACGTGCCATGTCACTCAGCTGGCTGATGTATGAATCGTTGACGCAGTAGTCTACCCTCATCGTCGTCGATCCCGGTCAGAGTCGCGATGTCGGTCCCTATGCCTGTCCTGATCTCGGTCTCTGTCCCGATGTCTGTCCCTATCCCTATCCCTATAATCGCGATCTCGGTCCCGATCTCTGTCTCTATACTGACCCCTTTCGCGGTCTCGCTCACGCTCCCTTTCTCGTTTGTAGCTGTCCTCATGTCGTCGGCCCTCCTTGCGTTTGCTCTCTTCCCTCCTATAATCGTCTAATCGCGGCCTAGACTTCTTCTTGCCGTTCTGATTCCATCCGCCGAGTTCCTCCTCTTCTTTGAGCTCCTTGGCGCCAAGGCCGAGGCGGTTCTGGCGTCTCTTGACTTGTTTGACTTTGGGACCACGATTTTCGCCGTTCCAGCCCATACCACGGAGCAGCGCGGCGCCAAACTCTTCAACCGGCATGGCTTCGTAATCTTGGAGGCTGGACACTGCACCAGAGGATTCGACATCGCGGCGGTAGGCGTCGTCTTCCGTTGGTTGTCCTGCTGTAATGACTTTTTTGTCTTCAGTTATTTTACCGAGAAGAGCGTCCATAGCCTCGTCATCGGCCGTTCGTTTTGCTGGTGCAGCTTCGCTATCGCCATCGCCATCGCCGTTGTTTGCGTCTCGCATCTTCTCGTCGCTGGCCTGAACGTTCGACTCTGTGGGAGCTTGATCCTCCGATGCGGGCTTCTTCTCTTTGACCGTCAGTCCCCATTTCAGCGCTGTATCTTCACTGGCTGGCTCGGTCTCGGCGGTGACAGCATTCTGCTGCGCTCTAGCCTCCTCTGGAAGTAGATTCTTCGACTGTCTGTGGCTCCTCACTTCGTCCTTCCAGCTTCGATTCGACTGTCGCTCGATGACGTACACCTTCTTCTCCTCCTTTTGCCGCTTTCGCTTTGTCTCTGCGCCATCTGCGCCAAATCCTGTGATGGCCTCATGTCGTCCTCGGCGGCGATCGTCTTCAGAATCCGAATCGGAATCGCCCCCCAGGGCGTGAGAGTGCGGTCGCTTCCCTAAACTCGACGACGGTTTCGATCGGGACTGTTTTGCTGCCGATGAGGAGCTGCCTCCGCCAAATTTAATGGCTATGCGACCTTTATTCTGGTCAGACATAACGCGTCAAGTCTTGCAGCGCGACGATGTACCTTGATGCTCTGATGCAAAGCCTTGAATTTGGCTACGGAACTTTTAGCTTCTCGGGTTTCGATGCTCGGCGGCTCAACACGGGAAGAAGTACGTATCGCTATGGGCTAGTCCAAGACGAGCCTTAGCGCACAGCTACAAGACGCTTGTACTTTTTGTGGTGGACGTGAATTTTTTTCCGCGGGCGGAGCAGTCGGCTTGAATCGTGGAAGCCGCAGCACGCTGTGGGGGGTTGTGGCTGCCTGTGGCTGCAGGCGGAAAGAAGAAGAGGTGATGTGTCCAAACCCCCATGCTGTCTTAGGCCAGAATGCAGCGACCGTAGCATCGAATCATGTGGAGTGCATGTGGATGTATTCACCCACGTTTTATACGGCGGGCGATACATGCGCGTGGCACGACTCTTGCAAGAAGTCTATCTTCTCCGCTGATGCACCATTGTTGGCGCCCAACTGGTAAAAAACCTCACTAGGAAAAAATGATCGCAAATGGATCCCCCAATGCGTGCAGGAGAACAGATTGCAGCCATTCGGAACTCTAGGCAAAACCCAAAAAAAAATATGGAGGCCGCAAAGGAGGGGTTCCGAGCCCATTGTACACATTAGGCAGCATCTAAGCTTAGCAGCAGATCTCGGGACATCTCCTCGCTCTCCTATTCCTCCAGGTGAGCCGCCTGAAGATTGTCTGCTCAGCGAGTTTCATCCATGATGCAGCGTTGACAAGCACTCTGCGAAGCGGTAATGCACAGTAGCGGAAAACCCTGAGCTTACTGTGCACTAGGCGTTCTAGGCGCCCTGTCTCTACTGCACTCATTAGCGCCGCGTGCGTCCTTCTCCCAGCCAACTCCCGCCAGCAGCTGTTAACGGCTAGCGCACTCCATACAGTGCTAGGTGAGCCAGCAACAGCACCTCCGCTGGCTTCCAGCGCCTCCCCCCCTGCGAAACTCCCCCCAAGACACTGGCGCCCGACAGAATTTGACGCCCTCCCACAGACCGGCGACACGAGCAATCGGCCAGAACTTCGTCAAAACGGCCACCTCCACGATCCTTTCCATCGCCGTGCATCGCGAGCCTCATCTCAGACGACCTCTCTGGCCATCCTCCGACATCCGTTTCGCCTGCAAACGGATGTCGCTCCCGCCGATGCTATGACTGAGGTCGGCCACACCGATCTATCGAGGCTGCTTCAATCCAAGCGTAACGAATTCAAGTGAGTGTGCGCTCATTTGAAAGAGCGGATTTTTCCGATCAAAACGAGGTGCTTTTTGCCATGCTAACTACCTACAGTGCAATCGTAGCGTCTCGGAAGAGGAAACTTCGCGAGCTCTTCGCTGTCGCGACGCAGGCCGAGAGCCTCCCGCAGGATGCTTTCGCGAACCCCGACGCGCCGGCCACTACTGCTGCGGAATGGCAGTTTCTTCAGACCAGCGAAATCTTGCAGTGCGTGCCCCTTTATTTACGAGTTTTTTTCGGTCCATTTTGCACTTTGTTTTCGTCTTGTAAACAAACGAAAATATTGGCTTCGAATACATCGTTGGCCGTGTCACGCGTCTCTTGGGCACTCCCGACGCCAGCCATAGCTAACTCTCTCTCCATAGGGGCAAAACACTGAACGAACAAGCTATTCCGGCACGGCCCTTACTTTCGGTTGATTTATTGAAACGATTAATCGCAAAGTCAATACAGGAAGCAGCCCTACACTCCCCAGCGCTCCCCACGCCGACCACCACATCTACGAAAGAAGGCGCTTTCATCTCAAAACACCAAACTCTACCGTCCGATGGCTTTGTGTCAACCGAGTCACAGTCCACGCCACCCGAAGATACCACCAAACCGCCAGCGAAATTAACGAAACCTCCGCTAACTCCTACCGCCTTAACGTCCAGCAGCATCGTGCCATATCCAGCTGGAGCCTCTACTGTTCCTGTCCAGCCCAAGGCTATTTCCACGCTTTCCCTCGCTCTGCCGCCTGCAAAGGATGAAACGAAACAGCCCGATCGAACTACCAATGGAGCAGCGAGTGAAGATGCTACACCCGAACGGAAACCAGCACAGGTTTCTTTTCCCCCGGGGACTAAGGGATCGCCTTCAGCGGAATCATCTGATACAGTAGCGACGAGGGGAGAAGGAGATGCAGACGCTACGGAAAATGGAGGAGTCGATAAGCTTCAATCGAATCAGACGGGACGTAACCAGGAGCTGTCGATCAAGGTTCCGCACAGCTTGACCAAGGTTCCAGATGCGCTTTCATCTCCTGGATCAACGGCACCAAGTGCCACGACTCCTGGGGTCCATGATGTGTCGGCGGATACCAGCCCTGAGCATGATGCTCCTCAGTACATGCATGATCGATTGGAGGAAGATGCTGAAGAGAAAGAAGAGAGGGGCGATGAGTTGGAAGGTGCTATAGAAACAGATACGGGAGCTGTGCCAGCCAGAGCAAAACACGATGAACCAGAGCCAAAAGCTACTACTTTGGATGAAGATCAGCTTCTCCAGGAGTCCATCCGGTCAAGTGCTGCCGCCGCAAGTCCGGAACTAATAAAAGTCTCTCCTGGGCTCGAAGTCAAGACCAACGCTACAAAGTCTATTCAGGGGGCGGACCCAGCCGCAAAGCAAGATACTGAGCTGCAAGATAAACATGCTCAGCCATCGGCGGCGCCAGCCGCGAAGCCCGCCGTTGAAGTTCCGGATAGCCAAGAAGAAACGCCGGAAAGAATAGATGTGGATGCCTCTCGGGCCACGAAATCGGAAAGCACCGAATTGTCTCCAACTCAGACGTCTGCTGCCCCACCTCCAGCTTCTACAAATGCTGCGGCCAAGCCTACGCCAGCCAGGGAGCCGCTTCCGGCTCCTGAACGGGCAGTCACAAGGGTATCATCTGGAGCAATGCGACTCAAATCTGTATCGGAAATTGTGGGAGAGAGCCCACGGTCTGCCACCATCACAGAACGAAGCACGACCAAACCACCGCAAAACCAGCTGACCCCGGTTACCTCGACGCCTCAGTCACCGCCCCCCAGGCCGAAGAATGCGACCAAAAGAGACAGGTCAAAAGCTCAGGTTTCTACCGTTTTATTCGGTAAGCAGCCTAAGCAGGTGGAAGAGAAAGCGCTGGTTCCTGGCCAAAAGGAAACAATTCAACCATCCGATGACTACTACACCCCTCTTTTCATTCAAAACTTCACAGGCGCGACAAACTGGATGCAACCTATTGAAAAGATTCTGTTCCACGCGAACAAAACCATCGCCACCCCTGACGCTTATCTCGCCATACAAGATCACCAGGCGTGCAAGGTACTCCGCAGAGTGTATCACCTACAGCAACATGACAAGTGGTCTCTTCGGCAGCCCAAGCGGTGTCCAGAGCCGACTCGCCCGCCATCATCTTGGGATGTCTTGTTTCAGGAGATGAAATGGATGCGTACGGATTTCCGAGAAGAAAGAAAATGGAAGATGGCCGTGG